AAATGCCAGGCAGTGAAGAATACAGGAAGAAAACTGCACAGATGACCAGTCTGTCTAAGGAGTAAAATTCCTGTGTTTAACCCATGTTAGCAGCAACTATCACCCATTAATTTGGAACTTCAATAGAATATTAGCAATCAAGGATACAGAGTTGTTGTTTTTTTTAACATCAGTACAGATGTTACCCAGGAATAGTCTGAAAGACTTGACTAATACTGGGTCAGCTAGGAATGGTGACAAAATCCACAATGAATTCAAATGAGTTTAGATTTCTATGAATTTGGATCTGTGGATTCTCCAGCAGTTCCTCTTTTTCCAAGATGCATGGATTCCATGGGTTCACAGACCATTTATTGTTGTTATTTGCATTTGCAAGAAAGAATGGAAGTTCTTGCACACGTCTCTAAAATATCCCCATTCTGTCAATGAGAGGACAATGGAACAAAAGCCACATGGCAATTTGTGAAATATTGATGGAATGGATTACATAAAATCTGTACATTCCTAGTTGCAGCTCATCATTTGAATTGGTCTCTATGTACTTCAGTATAGATCTGCAACACAGTGTTATTTTTCCAGTTGTAGTTACTTCAAGCATTTAGTAACACATATTTATTGTGCATTTAAATATTTATATTTCATAGAAAAAAAGAAGCTGTCAACTATCAGTCCATCTAGTTCAGTATTACGAGAAATGTAATGAGAATGTATGATGCATGAGAAATTCATTGCAGCTTGTTTTATAGCAGGATTTATGCAGTTTTCACCTTCCTGGACCAGTCAAGAATTTAGACACAATCTGTGGTCAAAGTCTTTACTTTTCTGAGCTTGTTATTGTGATTTTTGGGCCCAAAAGGAACATGTTGACAGCATGTGCATATTTTAAAGTTCTGTACAGATAAGTTTTAATCAATGGGAAATGAATGAACACATTTCAAAGATGTACAAAACTGGTATGTATAAAAATAATTGCAAAAATGCACATGGATTTCATGTGATAAGAAAACAAACTCACAAGCTGATACAAACTCAAGCTGGAACAAACTTTGAGATAGAAATAGAGGACTTCAGAGAGCTCAGGTATTTCTGATTCAGACAGTCTGATTTGTATTGTCAACACTAGCAGGGTTTACATATACAGTGGTACTTGGCTCACGAACTTAATCCGTTCCAGGATTCTGGTCATGACCCAAATTGGTCGTGAGCCAAGTTAAATTTCCCCATAAGGTTTAATGTAAATAAGGTAAATCCGTTCTGTAACCATTTTTTAAATCAGAAAAATGTGAAGCAAAGTGACAACAACAAAGATCGCAGCCATCTCCGCCCCACCATACCCCGAGCACAGGTGCGGACATCTTCCCGCCCTCCCCAGCACGACCAAGATCACACCTGTCTTCCCTGCACGCACCTGTCATCCTTGCAGGTGCCCATCATCCTAGCATGCGCCCGTCATCCTGGCATGCTGGGGAGTGGGGGGGAGAGACAGGCATAATTATGGGTGCACTGGAGGAGGAAGAGATGGGCGCAAATGGCACGCTGGGGGAGGAAGGGATAGGCGAGATCTCGGCCATCTCCCCCCTGCCCCCAGCATGATCGCGGCCATCTCCCCACTCGGGGGTGGGGTGGAGAGATGGCCACAATTGTGCTGGTTGGTGGGTGGGGGAGGAATGGCTGAGATTGCGCCCATCTTTCCTGCAGGAGCGTGCCTCTGATCACGCACGCCTTCCCTGCACAAAGGGAACTGCGATCGTGGCCATGTCCCCACTTGGGGGGGGGTGGCTACAATCTTGGTTGCCACCCAATGCGGAGTTCGCGACCCACGTCAAAATTTTAATGACATTTTGGTTCGTGACCCGATTTGTTCGTGAACCAAGGCGTCTGTGAGCCGAGGTACCACTGTAATGGCAATGGTGGTTTCCATTGTGGGATGGTCTGTCATGTTGTCAGAAACATGTTGCGGAGTTACTGCATGGTACATTTGATTTTAATGGAATATGGAAAGAAACAATGGTCAACTGTATGGTTTCCATACTTCACCATGGCTTATTTGGTTGTCAGAACCCAGAAACACAGTTTCCATGTAACTACCATTGAGCTTGATGGAAAGAGTAAAAACTGCAGGAGTCACTCTAGCTATCTAGCCTCTGTATGCAGACCAATAGGTATAGGCAGGTGATGCAGACAGAAACAGCGCGCGATGGAATTGACTTTCAGCATCAGAGGCTAATGGGATATGTGCCATCAGTGGAAGGATTAAGGCAGAAGGATGGAAACTGTGAACACATGGAAACCATGCAAGCATCTGACAGGTAAGAAGCCATGAGGCATGGTTTAGCATTACATGTAAACACAGCCATTGAGTGGTAGTGGCTCTCCAGGGTTCTGAAGGGGTGTTTCCAACCTTATGGACATGCCAAAGATTGAACCTGAAACTTGTCACTTGCAATGCATGTGCTTTCTCTGAATTTCTGCCTTCCCCATTTAAATGTCTCCTAATTTGGAGGCACCTTATGTTTCAGAGTGGGAAGCAATAAAAGTATCGATTACATGTGCATCTAAACAAATACTGTTAAACAACACATGTTAGTTAACTCACACCTACTACTAGCTTGTTCTAGTATACAAACATCCATTAAAAATCTTATTTAGATCATTAAATTACAAGGCATCCATAATCTGAAATGAAAATGTTCAGTTTCTATCATAATTTTATAACTGGGTGGTGAGGGGAATAAAAGATACAATATGAAAGCAAATGATATAGAGAGAGTGTGTGTATGGGGGAACTCCCTATAGCTCAGTGCATTATAAATTCCCATCCTGGCAATTGGCAAAGGGAAGAATTTATATTTATTCATTTAAAAGATTTAAACCATTCCACATTCCACTATGGAGATTTCAGACCAGCAAAACTAAAGATAAAACATATAAAACAACAAAGTAATGTGTTAAAAACAAGATCAGTAAAACTGTATCAATGAAACTATGGCTCATTAGATCAAGAAAACTTTCAAAATAAAAGTGTTCTTCAAAAGAAATGGAGCCACTATGCTGAAGATACTTATCTGGATTGACCCCAGTTGGGCCATGACCTTGGTGACCAAGATGCTCAGTAATGAACAGCACAAGTATCTTATTGCCAAATTCTTTGGGGCTTTATACATTGGTGCCAAAACCTCAAAGCAAAACCTCATAGCCAATAGGCAGCCACTGTAGTTTTCCCCAGAAAAGAAGCTATATGCTGAAAAGTGGCAGCTCCTAACAGCAACTGGGCTGCTTTATTCTGCATTAGGCTAAGGGCTGATAGAACACACTGTATTAATTTAGCCTTGAGGTTACTAGCCCCTGGACCACTGTGGCCAAGCTTTCCCTTTTCTGGATGCCTGGTAAACCAACTGGAGCTGGTAAAAGTCACTCCAAACCCCATGGTCACTTGGCACTCCAGTAAGAACAGTAGCTCTAGGAATGTCCTCAAACAACAAATGTAATCTTTCTAGTGGGGCACAACCCCATGCAGAATAGGCAATGAACCTATCTCCCAGACTCAGGAAATACTCATTGGGTTTAATACAATCCATCACCAAGTTCTACACACTGATATAGGACTGGACCATTCAATCTATAGTCAACCTTGGTGTTTGGGCTCTGATGGTATCTGAACCCAATCAATGAGTCTGAAATTCAGATTCTGACCTTGCATAGATGGAAACAACAACAACTGTTGTCTTTTGCAATATTATTTGATAGAGAGATTTTGGAGTAAACACAGTTTTAGACTGGCTATTGATTTAGCCTAGAAGTCTCTACACTACTACAAGTGGTTTTGCAGGGTTACAACAGAAGCCTTCTCCATCACATGTTTCCTGATCCTTCTAATTGGAGATTCCAGAGATGGGGACCTGGAACCTCTAGCATGCCAAAGAATGTCTTCAACTACTAGTCCATCGTCCCTCAGTTTAACAGATTATATCTTTAGTTCCTTTTAAAGAACAAATACAACGTCAGGATATGTGTTATTTTTAACACTGGATATTCTAAAATCAAAACACATAAAAACAAACTGGTAGCATTAAATCAATATAGTCAAGCTGCCTCACTTCAGTCATCATCCCAAAACTACTGCCATTTGTACCAGTCATATCTGACTAATCAAGGTCATAGATGAGAAAATGTGTGATCAATATAGCATTACACTGGCAAGAAAGAGATACTTGTATCATTGTTTCCAATCGACACTGACCTCAATTACAACTTCCAAAGAAGCTAACATACATAGCTGTTTTTCAATGGAGATGGACTCCACTTTTGATGGACTTCAGAACTCCCTTAAAAGATGCTTCTGTTCTGAATGCATAGAATTTTAGAGCTTATCCACAATTCCATTTACAGATCCTTCATTTGGCTTTCTTAAAATGTGGAAATGCTTGGAATGAGAAAGTTGATTTAGGGATCCAATAGTTTATTTCAATCACACACACACGGGTAAGCAACCTGATTGTTGATTTTTTTCTATGGATGCAGTCCGAATGCTGCCTTTGTTGGTGGTGGTAAATGAAAAATAATCACTAATTTGGTATCAACAAAGTAAAAACCTGCAACATAATGCTCTGTCAGATACATGTTTTCTTTAGTTAAGCGTTTTTGGTTGAATTCAGATTGAGAAAACTGAATTTAGTTTCTACTGAGATCAGTGGGATGTGTTCAATCATGATTAACTTTACATATCTATTTCAATAGGACCTCTGTTTAACTAATGTTGTAATTGCAACTCTATGGGAGCAAGTCTTGGGGAGCAAAATACAGGCTTCTTCTGAGTAGACCTGTATCTCTGGATCCAACCACCTGTGTTTGGCAGTAATTATAATCAGATGGTGCAATACAGTCACTGGTTAAGCATGAAAGCAATGAGCATTTACTTCCAAATTCCTGCATTTACTTCCAAATTCCAAATTCCTCTCCTCTTTCTCACACACATATGATTTCCACCCATGATTTCTTACCTTGAACAATCAAATAAACCTGGGAAGTCTTGGGATGATGCAATGTTTGCACTGAGCATGTATATGACCCCTCATCGTAGACATCCACTTTCTGGATCCGGAGGCTGTATTCCAGAAGAGAAAGTTGCTGGAGCTCTACTCGGGGGTCCAGGGACCATTTGTCTTGACCAGCAAAAATGATGCCAGAACGATTTAACCAGGCCACCTTGGAGCTTTTGTCTTCTATAAAACACCTGCAAGGGATGACAAAGGGAAAGGTCAGTATTCAAGAGTCTTTCTGGTAAGGACTTTGTATCAAGCATGCAGATTTTCCCTAGGGCATGTTCACAATGGCAACTACTGCAGCTGATTTCTTTAGAGTGTATTTTCATTTTCTGGGTTCTTTTGCAACAGCTATATTATTTGCCCACACAATTCTCTCTTATCAGTAAAATTACCATTTTATTGATATGGAACTAGTGTGACAGCAATTTACCCAATCAGTGGGTAAATCGGAGCTCAAGTGTGACAGTTCTCTGTTCAACTTGCTATCCATGCAGCATGTTGCTGAAATATATGCATCGTTAATTAACATGCTGAGTTATGCAAGCTTGATTCGTAAGCTAGTTGAGTCACATCATGCTGCATTCATTACTTACAGAAGAGCCCTAGTAATAATTCATGCCTATTCTCTTTAAAGGTCCATTTTGTGTAATATGTTGATCAGGCCCCTCCCCCCTCCCCCACAATCCCCAGTGGCTCCATGTCTGCCTTTCCCACACACACTTTTTCTGAAATAGAGTTCAAGCACTCTGTCTCCAGACTACAAGCTTCTTTCCAAAACTGCCAATAGTGCGAACACAGAGTGAAACACTTTCTTTCGTTTTCTTCCTCTATGTACCCAAATGCTGGATGCAGAGCAGACTCAAAATACTTCTAACCCCCTGCCAGTCTGTGGAGTGAGAGTTCAGGGCTGTGAACTGTATTTTCAGTTTGTTATAGGAATGCAGCTGTTACATTATGCATTTACTCTTCAGTCTTGACTCCTGCCAGCCCCTTTTGGCATCAGAATGGAGTGTTATCTGCTTATTCCCCTCCTGCCACACTAGACAGCCTTATACTAGACAGCTTTTTAACTCTTCCTGAGAACAAGATGCTGCCTGCTCCCTAGTCAACAGCACATCTGCAGCCTGTGTGTTCACTGCCCACATAGGGCAAGAATCCTGCTCAGATTTTACCAGTTCTATACATCTTGCAGAATGTCCTTAGAAAACCAGGTGATGCAGAGGTGAGAGGAAGTAGGGTGGGCAGAGAAGGGGGACACACAGAAAGACAGGATGGTTGGCCACCTGGCATGTCCCTCGTCACAGCTGTCAATAATGGTGTGGTGCCTGCTAGCAGGAGGATGGCCTAGCAGCCCATGCTTGGCTACATTAGTCATTCACTCCTTTCATGCAAAAGCATAAAGAAGCTCTCACAAAGTCAGACCCAGCTGGATCTAAGGATGAAGTCAACCTACAAGAATATACATACAATATCACAGCCTTTCCCTCTAGATTAATTAATCTGGAGGTACTGCTCCCTGCTGGCTACATCAAATTTGTTCTGAATTTACCCTCTAGTATCTCATCTTCTTTCCAGATAAGATTGCCATTTTTCTAAGATTGTCCTGTGGTTTCAGAGATGAGAGGAAGGGCATTTTGGCCAAGAACCAGAGATAAAGGATTCTTATCACACTACATGAGTTAATTGGGTTAGCCAAGATGTTTGTATTATCAGCAAAAACTGCCCCATGGATGACCACTGTTGATAATGTGGTCATCCCATTCTGCTTTTAATTTCCTTCATTCCTCACTGTTTGTAATAGTTCTCCCACCACCCAGTATTGTTACATTGCATTTACATTAAATTTGTATCCCTCCATTTTATCCTCTTGCAAGGAACCTAAAGTGAGTCGCATATTTCTTTTCTGCTGCTTTTTCATCCTCACAACAATGACCCTGTGAGAGTCCATGACTGACCCAAAGTCACCCAGACAGCTTCATGACTGAGTAGGAACCCAGATCTAGCAGGTCCCCAGTCTAGGACCCTAATTACCATGCCACACTGCTTCTCAGTGTATATTTACTTTGTAGAAAATCTGAAATTCTCCAGGGTACTCCCTGCAACTGAGTATGGTCCACACATGTTTATACCAGAATAATTGTCTTATTTGTTAAGGTGCCAGATAACGTTCTGCTGTTTTATGAGAAAAAATGTTTTGTTTTCATTCCAAACTGCCTAAGATATTTTGTCCATTGCCTCCAAGGAAGGTTATGCTGTACTCAAACAATTTTAAGTGCTTTTTAAAATAAATAAAACATTGTTTTTGCTTGCACACATTCAGGTTCTGAAAGACAGATGCTGTTTTTCTTTTTAAATAAGCAAGTAAATACATAAATATTTAAAAAAAAAACTGGGAGGATACTCTGGCCCAAATCAGCAGCTAGAAGAAAAGCAAATGGGAATTTTTCCCTCTCCCTCCTAGCAAGAATACCAACAAGGAAAAGACCATGTCTGTGTTGCTGTTGTTTTCCTTCTTTAATATAAATTTTAATTATTTGTTATAAGCCATTGAGAGCCTTTGGGATGGAGTGAGACAGAAACTGAATAAATAAAAAGGAATCATGATGACTTAGGATTTTCGGCCATATATGTTATTGTTATTACCACTGTAGCAGCTCTATTAACTTGGAGTATTTATTTAACACAGGCTCTGCAGGCTGCTGGTTCTTCACAGGAATGACACAGGCTGTACCCACAACGCTTACCTTCCACGTTCGAAGGACAGGGAAAGCAGAGAGGCCAGCATTGCCTTGCACAGATATAGGAACTCTACATGCAATTTGGCCATGAGTGATGCTCTTTGTAATTAAGAGAATCTGGTCAATTTTCTGTTCCTTTCCTCTGAAGAGCAGCAGATTCAACAGGGAAAACATTATGGTCCTTGAACATCTATCTCTTTTTGTTTATTTATTTAGCGTTTTACTCTTTCTCCCCCTCCTCTGTGTGTTGTGAAGAGATTCATAAGCTTGTTTGAAATACCTTTAATGATGAACAGAATAAGAAGCGACATTTTACTTGCTCTGTGTTTCTTGTACTGTGTCACTAAATAAAAGACTCAAGTCTCCAGGGCTGTTGCTCTCTCACCTTTTTGTCAGCTGCATTCACACAAGTGTATTTTCAGAGAGAACGAATGAAGATGGGAGCCTAAAGATAAGAAAACTATTTGGCAGTAGGGTTTTTCAAATGGTTTCCTGTGAGGAAAAGTCAGACATTTACAGAACTCCTCTAACTGAAAGCATTTCTGATCCGTGTGTTGAGATCACAGATCACAGCTATTTACTTCACAAAATTCCTGCTCCCCGTCTTGCATTTAGGTTAAAAAGTGGGGGGAAGCATGCATTGATGACAATGGAACTCGCTCCACACACTTAAAAAAAGGGATGGGGACAATTTCCCAGGAAATTAAGGGTCTGGAGGGGTTAACCCTTCCTTTCCAGTGTGCAGTGGTCCTCCTCTGAATTGTGGTTACTTGAACTTAACACTAGAACAAAAGAATGAAAGAGGTCAGCTGCATAAGTAACACAACACATTTGCATGTGTGCTCAAATAGATGTATGGATGTGAGAAAAACAAAATTTGTGACTGGTGGTAGCCCTGCTCGTTTTAAAATGTATAAATCTCACTCACTTCCAAATTTGTCATACCAATGTCTTGAAGCCCCTAGAAGATTATCTGGGACTCCAAAGGAGATCACAGCTTTCCTTCAAATATCTAGAATTTCAAAATTCATTTCAAATGAAAGCAGAGATACAAAGGCCAATTCCGGCAAGAACAATATCTTTTTAAAAAGAAAAAAAAACTAGAAAAGGTACAGCTATTTCATAGTAAGACGCTATTTGCTACTAAGTATACAGGGGCGTATCCAACTGAAGGAAGGAACAGAAACTGGAATGAGCTTGGAAGAAGGGTTGTTCTTCCTATCTCATCCTCCCACAAGTTTTGGGAGATAAGTGGTCATCAAGCGAGACGGCTGCAAGGCCAAACCGGCCTATTGAACTCTTAGGAAATAGTGCGCACACTTACTAGGCTTATGAATAGTAACTGACACATCTCTCATAGGTAATAGGCTCATTAGCCTGAACATGGGATGTATGAGCACGAGGGGGGAACATATTGAGGAGTAGTATGATATAGGCAGATGGGGAAGATTGTGACTTCTTAGTAACTAGTCAATGGCAAAGTGGGGATAGCGTTGAGCATCAGGAAAAGAAATGTATATAATCTCATCGATGTTTGAAAGAAATTGCTCTTTGTTTCTCAGGTGACTGAGACTCTGAGCCAGCCTTTGCAAACACTTCAATAAAGCTGCTTGTACCTGCCCAGATCTTGTCTCACAGAGTTTTCAATCTCTCACTGTCCTAGCTTAGGAGATAGAGCTGGGGCACATATTACAGTTAGGTAAAAATTAAGGCACAATTGAATGTGTTCTTCATAGTGGAAACTTGATCCTACATCTAATAAACAGGTAAGAATACTTAAATTATGTTTTTAACAAAGCAGGAATGGATGTGCATTTAGAAATAGTCTGAACAAACTGCAGAAGATTCTTCTGCAAACGCAAACTGGCTCTTTCTTAGAGCACTGCTACCTGCTCAAGTAGCCACACAAAGCAAGCCTTCCCTTAAGGATCACACCACTGTGAGTGCTGATGAGGCAGTTGTGATCTTGCCATTTCACAAGCTTTTGCAGGAATCAGCTAACAACTTCCCTTGCCACCCATCCTAGCCCCCTGCCACCGTGGTGCCAGCAGCAAAATGGCAGAAAGGGAAATAAAACAGGATCAAATGCCACTTGCTCAATGCAAAATAACATGGACTCCTGCTAGTGAGCACAAACAAGCCAGACAAATTCTCTAAAGTGCTGTAAAGTGTGATCCTAGAAAGCAAATGCTACTGTTAGACACAATACAGATTGGGATGGGGAGCAGGTGAGACACTCACTAAACCAGACAAAGATGTCTTTTATTGAGGCTTCTTATTCTACTCAGCTTTTTCTATTCGTAGTGATTGAATGCAATACTTTGCTGTTAAAAGAAAAGGAAAAGAAGAATGTAAAAATCACCATTTAGTACCAATTTATTACTTTTTGTGTAGATACAGAAACCTGTAATAGGTTCACTATGAAGCATATTGGAAAGTTTCTCACATAT